GATTTGATTGGTCGAAATGTTTATGCATATTTAATAAGCTACTGGGAAGACTTAGATGATCATTTGACACGGCTTGAACCCACTGATCTAAATTTAGATTAGGTGGGTGTTAGCCGTTTAGATTGTGTAAGTAGGGTGGCAAGGCGGCCCAAGCGTTCTGTGTGAGATTTTGCGGTCTAAAGGTTGTTGTATCAACAGGAATACATAATATATTAAGTTTTAATTTTAAGCGTAGACGTGTGCCGTAAGAAAAGAAAAAATTTATAAGCGTGAACAACCGATAAATATCGTAAAAGTGCACAAGCTCGCAGAACTTGTCCACTAAAAAAACAAATTTAGTGTTGGAATTGCTTGATATTCTAGACGAACATCTGGTATTCTTAAGGACTTTGAAAGAACTTTTCAAAAGAAATACGGTGAAAACGTCCGCCTTCCGGGCATTCGGTCTATTCGAGACGGTGCCCGGCTACCGGGCATTGAGCCACAGCGTACGTCCGGTACCTTCTTCAGGACCTTAACCCAACGATGGAACTGGTCTACATTATCATGATATTTACGCTGCGATACATGGCTATTTTAAGAAGTAAATATTGCACAAAATTGCACTCAGTGGCTAGCTACAAGAACCACTGCCTCGACAACTGTTTCATGTAGGTATTCTGCGTATTCCTCGCTGAGTGAGACTTGTTAGTGGCAGTCATATGACTGACCTTAAAGTTTAGAGCCAGGGGCTCGATTTTATCTAACTTAATAAGTACAAATTCTTGCCAAGGAATTAATGGAATAGGAAGCAGGCCGCAGTTGTTGGTGCTGTCTATAATCTCATTATTATTTACGAGCAAATAACCGTGTTATCTGATGTAAAGGCATGCAAATGCTGCAGGGATGTGACCAATGTAAGAAAAGAAACGAAACGTGCACAAGAAAACTTCATCGGAATAAAACCTCAAAATAGTTATACTGTAAAAGAAAACCTGTTCGCCCGCTAATTTTCTAATAGACGACGTCTTTCCCGGGGATGTACGTAAAAGGTAATGTTAGTTAGCAGCGGACTAAATCGCTGAAGGATCCAGAATATGCAACATTATTTTATTACAACGACCTACAGATTCACACCTACAGATTCACAAGCATATCATAAACTAAGCCGGATTTTCTAGGAAAGTAACGCTGTAATTTCCTCGTGTAGATTTTACCATGTTTTTATCCCGAGGGTCTCCTTTCTACGTCTCCTTGAGAACGGAGTGTGGAGCTGACTTAAATAATTTGCGGTTTTCGCTCTGCAGAATGCTATTTCTCCCCGTAGAAATGACGAGACCGGAGATATTGTGAAGAATTCTTAGGAGGGCGGTGTCCGTCCGAATTGGGATAGGTAATAACATGATTTCGAGCGAAATTTTGTGTTATTGAGCACAAGTCAAATTTTCAAAGACGACAAAAATGCATAGGCAAATGACTTGTTGTAATTGTTTGACACTCTAATGCGGGGTTCAACAAACGCAACGGAGTGTTTGAGTCCCTGAATGCTGAAAATGTCAAGAGTTGCTATCACCCCGTGCCTAGTAATGCGAAGCCCCAGTTTTGTCGTTAGGAACGTAAGGAAGGTATTATTTCAAGAGGGCACTGGCGTCGAGGACGTAAGATTTTCGAAAATCAAACAAAGGTGCGTTATGCTTAGAGATACAGAGGAATTTGAATTTTGTACAAAATACTTCCAAAACTAAAAGACCGTCAGGGAGATCTTCTATTCAAGGAGCCAATAAGGTTACTAACATTTTGGTGAATTGGTCTTTTAAGGGCTGTTGCTAGCTTTACAAATTTGATGCGTTAATTATGGTTAAAAACTTCCCTTATTTCTAGGAAATGGTATTCATTCAGATGGTTATATCTTTATTCAAATGGAAAGGGCATCCGGAGATATGGCAATATGCACTAGCTATAAATAGCCCACTGCATGTTTATCAAAGCTCAGGTATTTTTTTGAAGCGCAAGTTAAAGTGGCTTTGATAATCATCCTTGTGAATATTATTGTTCCTTTCTCTTTGGATCAACAGATTCTCCTTATAGGCAAATATGTTCATGATTTATGTTCACGTTGTGCAATGGGTGATTATAAAGATTTGCATAGTAATGAACAGTCACCCTCTCAACCTTAAAAAAGATCTGAACTAGTTTTAAATAAGAACAGATTTACACCGCTTAAGTGGCTGCACTTTTGCATCTTGAGAATTTCTTGGGCAGATTTAGGGCAATTTAACTCGGTTTCAGTTGATCTGCTTTGCCCTCCAAGATACGTCTGCGTGACGCCAACCAAACAAATTCGCTCCGGACAACACAATCACCCCGAAACCGTGCATGACAAGCGATGATATTACTTTACCCTAGTGCCCCTTCTTTCAGGGTCATGTACAATGAAATGGAATTAATAGCCGCTAATTCCAAGAATCAGATTTTACATATGTTCAAGACCCACTTTTGACCAGTATGCTTTGCGTGCGGCGTTGACCATCGGTGGCTATTAACACGATGTTGATTATTCCATAAGCTTTGGTCGCCCGTAAGAATCTTGTTCCATCGCCCTTTTCATCTGTATTTCTCTGCGTTTAGTCGTTGCTTCAAGAAGTTTATTTCATAGGGAAAAATTTGGTAAGGTTTTTGAGTTTTTTTAATCGTTTTTGTCGCGTCTTTTGACGGTCGCTCTTATGATCTTGCTTTCTCGTAAGTGTGTAGTATTCAAAGATTCCTACTGAAAATTTGATGTTTTGTAGCACAGTGAAAGAGTGAAAAAAGAAGATCATTCTTTGAAAGTCACAAGGCTTTAAACGACCACTACGTCTCGACGGCTTTGTAAGGTAAGCTTTGTGTACCTAGAGTAAATTGTCCTGGGTTTGTCCGCTCCCTTCCCGATTCAGTGGGTATTTGGTGTTCTTAATTCTGCCGTTTTGGCTATTTTTGACGGGTCAGTTTTTCTGTTTTTGAGCCAATAATCTTGTGTGTTTTTCGGTTATGGTGGCCGTGCGGTTTGCGGATTTCCCGTTTTTCAGCATTTGGTTTTCGGTTTTCATTAAAATACTGACGCGTTTTCGGTTTTGGTATCAGATGTGGTCTTCGGTTTTTCCTATTTGGATTTCGGTTTCTCTTCGAAAAAGATACCGAGATTTCGTGACAGTGCGTTTTCTTTTATGTCTTTCCTGGTCAAGGACTGATCGCAAAGCAAAATGCCCCCACGAAATCGCCCTTCTTTGCTGTTTGCTTGCCATGCAAAACCTGATTGTGGCTAGTCAACAATTACTTTTGGTTCTGTTGGGAAGGATTCGGCTTTTACCAATCATGGAGACTTTAAATCAGTTGCTCAACAAACGTCGACGCCGCCTTCGACCTGTAGAATCCTGGTATGAAATCGTAACTTCCATGAAGCCTTTTTCCGTTGACATTTGAGAATGGGGAGATCGAGRGAGTCATTCGACAACTTACTAACGCGACGTTCAATTACGAAATATGATGACCAGTTGAAGGGTATCTGTCAAGGGACAATAGATTTTCTCGCCCGACAAAAAATTGTAGACCTTCAAAAGTAGTTGATGGCATCTTTGAAGTTTGGTGGCTCTTGTGAAAATTTTGGTGGGTCAAAAAAATCGTTCGCACCGAAAATCATTTCGCGTTGACACATTTTTTTGCAAAACAAACAAAATTTCGCGTAGTGCGAACAGGCTTTTAGGGACAATTTGGCGATCCCAAACACGTGGAAACAGGGCGGAAATTACTCTTGATTCACTTGACTCGCTTGTCAAAAATGCTTCGCTAGAAAAGCCGTCATAGTTCCAATTTTTTGTATAACTTGCCATGGTATAAACACCATGATTTCAAGAGAAGTAAAGAAGTTATGGCTCTCCCGTGCTTCGTACAACGGTAAGCGAAAAATAACGATAATTTTGAGCATGTGCCTTTGTTTAGAATTTCGTAAAGTTTACTTTGGGGAAATAAATGTGGGATTTTTAAGAATTTGTCGAAAATCGTCGACGAAAATACCTAAAATCACGCCATGTTGCGTATGCATGACCATTCACAAGAGCAAAATCGTTTTTCTTTTAGAAATTATGGCAACTCAAAAAGCGTACAGAACAATGCAAATATACTGACCCCAGCTTGGATATGATATTCTCGAATTTTCAAAGTGCTTCATTTTACCGTTTGGTTAATTTCATTCGTGAGGTTCGCTATGAACAGAGAAGCACGCCGCTGCAGCCAAGATCAAAACCGGCTTAGTTTTCAACGAATTCTTCGTAGCTCACTTTTCACATTTGTATTCTTTATACAGTTAATACAAATTTTTCTGAACATTCTGAAGGAAACCTTAAAAGGGCTGACAATAAAGCCAACTAGTTCAAGCATGTATTCAAATGCAGTTTACCGTGACCCGTTTTGAGACTATATGCAAATTACGTCTTGCATGAAAAGCAACACAAAATTTGCATATCTGGCTGAGGTATTCTCAGTGGCCAAGATTGGTTCTTTTATGCCATATGTCTCTTTCCTTTTGTTTGTGACGATTGTTGTTCAGAAGTTTTCAATCAAATCAGTCCAAACGTAACGAGCCTCACGCCGTTAGCAACCGAAAAAAGTCTAGGTATCCAGCAGAGAATCCGTACTTTTAGTCCGCATTCTCTGCTGGATACCAGTGGCTTGCTTGGGTAAAATTTTTGATCGTATTTCGCTCCTAATCTGATAGAGGCGTCAACTTTTACACAATCATGTCATCATCCTATGGCGTGAAAAGGTAATTAAAGAAGCCGTATCCGAAAAAAGTGTACATGGCCGGCGCTTAAAAATAGTGACAAGACAAAGCGCTCGCCCGGAGTGTGTTGCGGCAGTTACAGTCACGTCGAAGAAACATTTCTTAGTCAATGCTTGCGGATTTAGTTAACTTCATTAATACTGACATAGGCTGCGACGCTTATTTACTACGACATTTAACTGGCGGCCTGAGTGTTTTGTTTTCTAATCAATTTTACCAGATTTTTGTTTTCGGATCGGAAACAAAGTAAATTCCAGAACCGACGACTTTTTTTCCGCTGTGTTCGGAATCTTTGACAGCTGACGCTTGGTGCTGTAATTTTTGAGCATCCGGTTACCAGTTATTGGGAATAAACTCGGCGTATTACAACCTATAATTTCTTTTGCTGTTTAACGCAGAGTCCACAATACATGGCGGCTTTTTCTCACTGATATTTTATGTCGCATTTATAGTTTACACACTGTTCCAGTTTTTTTAAACGATATTCATGCAGTACACATAAGATTCTTTGTCACTGGCCTTCATATGACCTATATTGGTGCCGGAATCCTCTAGATAGTTGCGAGAGATTACAGACATTATAGGTACGATGTGATTAACGCACTGGTGTTGAAAATCTCTTTGCGCTACCTCCTCCGCAACGATGATTAAAATCGTGAATAAACAGAGACCGGGGGTAATAATAATTGTTTTCAAATCAAGATAGATGTTGAACAAGCTGACAAAGCTTTTAAACAGACAAAGACCAACTTTCGTTTAATGACACGTTACGAACAAGTTTAAACTCCCTTGAACTTTAACAGGGTTCGTACTGTCTTGCAAGTCTGTTAATTTCAGGGCAAGTCCCCCAATGAATTTAACCAATCCTTAGAAAGTCCTTGAATTTTTATATTCTAAAAGCTTCTTGAGAGGGGTGGGACGTTGACTTTTTCCGAAAAACCAACTTTAAATACTGAGTCAAGCGCTGTGCGCTAGAGTGGTTTGGAAATTAACATAGAGCGCGGTAGATCCAGTAATGCGTTATTGACCAAGCAGGAAAACTCAAACCTGAGCCAAGCGATAAGAGCCAAGCGAGAGCTTGCCTGCAGGTTACACAAAGACAAAATGGCTGCAACGCTGGCCACCGCAGAAAACGAAAAATAAGCAAGGGTTAATAGCCAATCAGCTCACAGAATTCGCTGCATCTTGCACCGCTTGCGAAGCCAGCCATATAAAAAGGAAAGATAATACATCGGCGTAATATAACTCTTAAAGCAAGAATCTCTCCCAACATATTCATCTAAGGTAGTAAAAGTTTAAAATGTTATGAAAGCTGAAAAAGAAAGGGTTCCGGTGTCGCGCTTATTCAGAGTTACAAGTTTGAATGGCCAAGGGGTGGGCACTTATTCAAGGAAATACGGTATATCGATCACTTGAGGCTGTGCGCGTTACTTCGTGTTGTTTCATACTTTATATTATCTCATATTACCCAGTTTGTCAGGAAATCAATCGTCGTCGTGTGTTTACGCCCTACAAAAACGTCGCATCAGAGAGTTCACTACTAATGGTAGATATATAATCACTGTTCACCACAGATAAAATATGTTCACTTTTATGGACACCTTTCGTCTGCCTTTCTGTAAAGTCAAGAAAGCCAAGAAAGCTCTCACTAATTGATTATAAATAAATTGCATAACAAATACCAGTAGGCTGAATATGTTTTGTGTTATTGTATAATTCCACTATGATGCATGTCATTTAGCATTGCAGGTATAACCTACCTTAATAACTTTGCAGAATACACAGCACTCTGTGTCCAATCCTTGCTTGCAAAGTTCATTGATATATTTTTTGGCATCACCAGCTCTTTGCTTGAGCAGCATTATCAGTGTTTTGTAATCAAGAGTAACTGTCATGAAAAAAGACAAGAAGATAACAAGAAGTTGAAGTTAAAATAGCTACACCAAAGATCTCAAATGTTATACTTTCCCAGATATTTTCTAACACTGCCAAGCATAAAATGGATTCAATAATTACTATCACGTAGCTAGACATGTAACATAAAAACATTGCAAAAATAAAAAATAATAAGATAAAAAAAATATAAAGAGTCAAGATTGGCACACACAAATAACCTGGAAATTTAACTTTAAAGCATCTTCCATTAACTACTATTCCAGTTTTCTCAATGGCATCCCTCTGGCGATTTAAATCTTTTATCGTAGAAAAATAGAAATGAAATAAATTATAATACTGTCAAGACCCTATCAAGGAAACAAACCCGAAATTTCTCCTAAAGTAGCCATAAAAAGTGATCATAGCTAGAAGACTTAGAGGCTCAGCGTAAAATCAAACTCAGCCAATTATGTGATTTTCCTGCCAAGCAGAGATGAGTTCTGATACACCGTGAAACCAGCATTCACAACAAAACATAAGACAGCAAACTCACTTTTTCCAATCTTAATAAAAATATAAACGTTATGACTTACCCCGGTTCGTCTTAGCTTGAAAATGCTAAGTAACGTTTGCCAAGCTTTTCTTGATCCAGGATCAAGAATTTATTTTATCGATCAACCAAAGATATCTCACCACTTCTCCTTCTTCGAATTTCTGCCGGAAGATGGTAGAAACAACTCCAAATAGAGAGGCGATGGCCACTTTGTTGTTCTGAACATATCGGTCATCCAAGCTTCCGCCATTTTTTAAAGCTGGACCGTACAAAACGCTTGGAAAATGTGCCACCAACAGGCTACTTCAAAAAACTTGCTGACTCTTATGCCACATTTCTTGAAATTTAAGATAAACCATTCCCTTGACTCATCTGGAGGAGAATGAAGCAATTCAACCCTTCGAAGTTTCAAGGGATCCATAACTGCACTCGACCGCGGGAAACTAAACATTCCCGCTTTTGCTTACGCATATTAATATGAAATCCAATCTCCAAATGTCAATAGGCCGATCCAGCCCCTAATAAACAAAAGGCTTCATTGTACCCAGCAGGAACAGAGATTGTACAAATTCAAGCAACAACTCAGATTACTGCGAGCAATTATCGAAAAAGGCTGTCAAGGCGATGATGGAAACTTATCCGGTTTATGACGTCACTCCATAGCAACCAGCCTTTTCGAATATTTGAACTTCCGTTTACCTGGGCTCGTGATGCAGCAAAGAGGTCTCGATGGTTTTCCATTGACAGAACTACCTCACATAATTTGCAAAGCGCGATAATATAATATGATAAATTTGCGAACATGGACTGGCGACAATACTCCCGAAAGAGCAAAAACTTCCATCATTTTTCCAAGAGCAGGAACACGCAAAGTATTGTCTTCCTTAAATTTAGAATTTTTATTTAGGTCGCAAAAAAAAACATGCACTAATGAGGTCAATTTAATTACATAAAATTGAGGTGTTCGATTCTTTAAAAGTAAGTAACAAGAAAGATAAATTCTTGGTAAAATAGTTTATTAGCGACCTAAAGAGAAATCTGCTCCCCCAAAGTAACACATTATAGAGAGAGATCGCATACTTCATTCTTTCGTTGTGTTTCGCCTACCGTTTTAGGCAACACGGGAGAGCCATAAGCTTTTTACTTCTCTTGAATACTGGAATTCATCTAATCTTTATGAAATCACGGTGAAATCACGGTGGCAATGACAAGTTGTACAATAACTTGGAACTGTGATAGCTATTTCTAGCGCAGTTTTTTGGATACGCAAGTCGAGTGAATCATGACCTATTTTAAACCTGTTCGGTGTCGCCAAATCGATCCCGGGACTGAAAATGAAACGTTTTCGTTTTTTCGGAAGCAAATAATTTTTTTCAGGAAAAAACTGCACAGTAATTGTATACTTTCTAAAGGCTACTTGTATGCATAAGAACAGCGAATTTTTGTTTTGTAATTTTGCCGCGCAATGTTTGATTTTTGCACTGATTTGCTCTCAAGACTCAAATAGCCTTTCGGTGGGATTACTTTTGAAATATTATGGAATTTGTCGCCAAGATTGATCGTACGTTGGTTTTATAGGACGCCATAGCTCTTTTATGTCACACATTCAGTAGACTGCAGCTGGCTTGTTGGGAAAGCCATTTCATGCGTGATCGTGTGTGACACAATGATCGACGTGATCTTGAAACGGGAAATCAACCAGCGCCACTACGTTATTTATATTGTAGCCTGCGATTTTTAGCGCTGCGTTCGCGCGTCGGTACTCTGTCTGTTCCATGTGTTCGCAACCGATTCAAGTTGTCGTAATTAAACCTTTGAGTTTACGCAGCGATTCCTTCTTTATTGGCGCAGCGTAATTTCTTAGAAATCGAGTCCTTCCAATACTGGTTAATCGCATTTGACCCTTTATCCTGACGAATAGCATTCGTGTCATGTCGCCTTCCAAAGAAATCTCCATACTATCTTCCGTCTTGTCATTTTTACCGGTAAAATAGCATTTTACAGAGTGAAACTCCCAAACTTAACAGGTTTTTTTTTATCAGTGAGTTCAACCTTTACCCAACTACGGAACTGGCCGGGTCTACATTCTTAAATTTTAGAGCCAGTTGCTCGATTTTATCTGACTTTATGAGTACGAGTTCTTTCCAAGGAATTACGAATAGGAAGCAGGTCGCAGTTGTTGGTGCTGTCTATAATCTCATTGCTATTTGAAAACAAATAACCGTGTTATCTGATATAAAGGCATGCAAATGCTTCAAGGATGCGAGCTGAAACAACGACCAACAAAAGAATTACTGTAAGAAAAGAAACGAAACGTGGAAAATAATAATAATAATAATAATAATAATAATAATAATTTATATTTATATTCTATTTATATAGCGCTCATATCCTAAGCTCTTGGCGCTTTGCAACACTGTGCGGGGGAATTTACCAGACTGCTAAGCAGTTTACAATCGATTAAAGGTAAATCTAACGATGCCCCCTCCCCCCAATTTCCAGTAAACACATCACAGTAACTAATTAATAGATGCAGGAGACGGGACCTACGGTTTATTCGTCCCTATACGCGAAGACTAGAATGTCTATCAATTTCTTGATGTTATAGAAAGGTAGCACATTCTCCTCAGTTATTTTAAGACCCTGAGTGTTGGTCCGGCGGGGGTTTGAACCATTAACCTCCCGCACAACAGTCCGACAGTCAAGCAATTGAGCTAACCGGGAGGCGGACAGGAAACCTTGATCGGAATAAAACCTCAAAATAGCTATACTACATGAGAAAACTTGTTTGCACGCTAATTTTCTTATAGACGACGTCTTTTCTGGGGATGTAAAAGCTAATGTTAGCTAACAGAGGACTAAATCGCTGAAAGATCCAGAATATGCAACATTACTTAACCACAACGACCTAGAGATTGAGACCTACAGATTCACAAGCATATCATAAACTGGGCCGGATTTTCTAGGAAAGTAATGCTGTAATTTACTCGTGTATATTTTCCCATGTTTTTATTCCGAGGGTCTCTTTTCTACGTTTCGTTGAGGACGGAGTGTGAAGCTGACTTAGATAATTTTCCTGTAACTAGCCATTGAGTGCAATTTTTGCTTACTGTTCACTTCTTAAAATAGCCATATACCGCAGCATAAATATCATGATAATGTAGACCAGTTCCGTCGTTGGGTTAAGGTCTTGGAGAAGGTACCGGACGTACGCTATGGCTAAATGCCCGGAAGCTGGGCACCGTCTTAAATAGACTAAATGCCCGGAAGTCGGGCGTTTTCATCGAATTTCTTTTTAAAGGTTCTTTCAAAGTTGTTAAGAATATCAGATGTTCGTTTAGAATGTCAAGCAATTCCAACAATATATCTGTTTTTTTTTAGTGGACGAGTTCTGCCAGCTTGTGCACTTTACAATATTTATCGGTTGTCGACGCTTATAAATTTTTTATTTTTTTACGGCACACGTCTACGCCTAAAATTCAAACTTAATATATTATGTATTCTTGTTGATACAATAACCTTCAGACCCCAAAATCACACACAGAACGCTTGGGCGGCCTTTGCATAATTCACGTTCCTACAGAATCATTTTTCAGCCCCGACGACGAACTGAAGACACTTTAGTTGCTCAGTCTAAATCAAAAATATCCGTAAACGATAATTGCCTCAAATTGTCTAGTTAAAGATTGAAAAATCTTCCCCATGAATATCATCGTTCCCTTCTTGGAAATGCCAGAAGTCGTGTGTAACCATGCATGGAGAGCGTGGCGCAATACTCGCAAACAGGAAGTCGACTGAATCTCGCAGAAATCCTTGAATTTTACAATATCATACATTAATTATAAGATTAATCGTCTTAATAGTCCATTTTACAGTTGTGTGCTTGGTTGCCAAGCCTTTGAATGGGAGTGAGGCTAGGGTTGACCTTTTTTATGATACAAACCTTGCTGCCTTTCAAGTGTAAATCACTTTGTTATCATGCTAAGTCAAATACAGGTCTCTATCACAACAAGGTCACCTTCATCCTCACTCTGAATCAAAGGCTTGGCAACTAAGTTCACAACTATAAAATGGCCTATTGAGCTTTATGGTCGTCGTTCTTATAACCTTACTTTCTGGTGCATGAACGTGTAGCATTCAAAGCTTCCTACTAAAAATTGGATGTTTTGTAGCACGGTGACAAGTGAGAAAAAGAACTTATCATTCTTTGAAAGTCGCAGGGCTTTAAACGGCTGCTACGCCTCCGGGCTTCTACGAAACTGCTTCTCAGGTAAACTTTGTATATCTACGGCAAATTGTCTGGTTTTTCTACTCTCTTCCTGATTTCTGTCGGTATTTGGTGTTCCTGAATGAAACCTACGATTGACCGAAGCTTATGGCTGTAAACAATTTCTCGCTCAATTCTTGTATCAAGTCTCTCATAAACTGACTACAACACTCCCGCGGCAGCGACAGCAAAGTCCGCTATGCCATTAAAGAAAGAGTTTGTGAGAACTACCCTCGTAAAGCAACCTTTCTCTCAATGAGATAATAAAGGTTGATGAAAATGCTAAAGCAACGTCACTTCGCCCGATTTAAAATGTAATGTGAATATATTACTGCTATAATATTTCAATCTCAAAATGAAACCCGGTCATGTTTTGTCGTGTTTACATCTGTTCCTTGGTTAAACGAACGGTCGAAGACTCGTTCCTTGTCTTCCATCAAACAAAAGTTTCGCAACACAAAAATTACTAACAGTGTTTAACAAGGACGTCGCAGAAAAATAGCTCATCATACTTGGCTCGTTTTAGATATTAGGGATTCGGCTTCCGGCACACCATGGTAATTTCACATATTGCTCACGCCCCTCGAGTTCCGGTATGTTAACGCACGATTCGACATCCGGTGTGACGATTCGTAGACGAATCACAACGTTTTGGGCCTATTAGACATGTATGGAGGCTTTTCCGAGAAGACTAGAATGACTATCCATTTCTTGATATAATAGGAAGGTAGCACATTCTCCTCAGTTATTTCAAGACCCTGAGAAAAGCTTGTTACTGATTATGAGCACCAAGTGGAGGCTGAGGGGACTACGCACTTATTTTGAAAACAGATGGGAGTGACTGAAGGTGGAATGTGAAGTTTTGGGCTATCTCGGTGTAAAATAACAACTCTAAAAGAGGCCGGACCCTAACTTTTTCGATTTTCCAGGTGAAGAGAGACTGAGAAAGAAATGGATTGCCTTCTGTCTTCGCTCTGGTAGGGACTTCACGTCCATCAAGAACTTTCGCAAACTTTGCCCCGTTTACTAGGGATAGAATTCTAACGAACAAGATTCAATCAAACTGTTTCATTCCACTCTCGTATTCGCTTATTTACAACGGGTGTGTAAAAAGCTACTCTGCAAAATTTGTAAGAAATCACTCTCTTATATGATATTTTCTACATTGTGATTGGTTGTTGCTAAGTACTGATTTAAAAGGTCATTCAAGGCTGCGTTGATCATGTAAACCGATTAATGTCCTAAAATCACAACAGGCGGTGCTTCTAGTTGTTGACATAATGTTCACACTCATCATCTGACATGTATCACGCACGAATGACAAAGTCTCAGACAGAACTTGCATAAATGCACCGAACATTTCGAGACAAAACAAATCGTGAAGAAACTTTCTGAAATTAAGAAGTTAGCAGGGGACATATTTTAATTTTTTTT